CGATTCCGCGTTCTACGAGAGTTATCTGCACCTTTCGACATTCACTCACAGAAAAGAATAGTCGGAATGTTGGCGTATTACGCCCAGTGGATCTCTCGTTTTTCTGATAAAATCCACATTTTGGTAAACAACCGGACATTCCCACAACCCAGAGAACTGAAGGATGCGTTGGAAAATATGAAAAAAGAATTGGGAAAAGCCGCTGTGTTTACAATCGATTATAACCGTCCCTTGGTCATCGAGGCAGACGCGTCCGAAATTGCCATAGTTGCCACGCTCAACCAAGACGGTAGGCCGGTTGCATTTTTCTCTCGCACTTTATCTCCCAGTGAGCAACGTCATTTTGCTATCGAAAAGAAAGCTTGTGCCACTGTCGAATCTCTAAAAAAATGGAAACATTATTTACTCAACAATCATTTCACTCTTGTCACTAACCAACGTTCAGTAGCATTCATGTATGATAAACAACACAAGGGAAAGGTAAAAAATGACAAAATCCAAAGGTGGAAACTGGAACTCTCGTGTTATCATTATGACATCCGATACCGTCCCGGTGACCAAAATAAAGCCGCTGATACACTCTTCCGGAAAAACTGTCTCTCTGCTGTCACGCACTGACTTGAAACATTTACGTAATACACTCTCATCCTCGTATTACACGAATGTTACATTTTGTTCGTTCTAAAAATCTACCATTCTCACTCGATGACATCAAAGCCGTCAATAGTCAGTGTGCAACGTGTGCAGAACTCAAACCCCGCTTTCTCAAACGACATTTTGGAAAACTCGTCAAAGCGACGCAATCATTTGAACGAATCAGTATCGACTTCAAGGATCCACTCCCATCCATATCCCATAACGATTACCTCTTGACGATGATTGACGAATATTCACGTTTTCCCTTTGCTTTTGCCTGTTCGGATGTTTCTTCGTCGACCGTCATGAAGTGTTTCAATCAATTATTTTACTGTTTGGGTTACCTTCATATATCCATTCCGATCGCGGAGCATACTTCTGTCTGATGAGTTGCAAATTTTCCTTCATGCTAAAGGAATTGATACCCATGTAATCCACGCGGTAACGGACAGGTAGAACGATTAAACGGCACTTTATGGAAAGCCATCACACTACTGCTGAGGTCTCAACAACTGGACGTCTCCCAGTGGGAAAGTGTACTTGTGGATGCCCTGCATTCTTTCCTTTCTCTACTGTGTACTGNCTCGAAATACGACCATTTGGTGGAAGAGGTAGAACTCTTAGACTCTAACCCTCAGTACGCATATATTCGTTTCCCTAATGACAGGAAACTGTTTCCATAAGACATCTTGCTCCCAAAGCAACTGATACAGACAACTCTTATTCGGACCAAACGAACCAACATATTAACACTGACGACCACTCGCAGTCGTATCCCGAGGCCAACTCTTCACAACTAGAAACCGGGCCTTCACAGCTCCTATCCAAGACTCTCCAACCGGAATTAGCTAGTCAGCCAGATCTACAAGACAATCTGCAACAGCACATCAAAAAACAACGACTTGTTCACCCGTCCAACTTGCGGAACAGAGAGGCTTAAAATGAATCCCCAAGCGCCACTGGTTTTTTGTTCTGCGGGGGAGAATGTCATAAACTGATGCGTTACCCTATTTCACATGGAACTTTATTAACTCTGTCTTTTCTTACATTGTAGCTTTTGTACTGCGATTGTTAGAAGATAAAAACCTATATACGGCCAGACTCCTCTTCTGCATTACTCTGCATCTCTCGAGTATAACTTGATGTACCTACATTGTTAGAAGATTAAAGCTTCGTTTCCGGCTGGCCGTTTTCTCTCTCTCGTTCGTCGCTCAGCCTTCCAGCTCATCACAATTTAATCTTCTAACAACGATGGGTCGCTTATTTTGCCCGGAATGATTTGATACCGATCCTCATTCTTTATCCGCTTCCGAGCAATGGATTTACTGGCATGGAACATTCCGCAACTTCATATCTACTATCGATCTACCCAACATAGATAAGAAAAAAAGTTGCTTGTGAATTTCATATCACCGTCCGTTTACCAACATAATCCATTGTCCCTTGAGGGGCTGTACGTTAAACTAAAGAACGAAGTGTTCGCATATCCACTGGCAACAGCAAAACAATAACAAGGACAAATGATTGATAAGTTTACACAAAAACTCAGAGTCCTCCCAGAGGATTGTAACTTCGTCGCAGTTTCCGCTGAGAGACATCGCGATGAAGCTATCCAAGATGCTTTCATTACGGGGTTGCTTTCCAACGAAATTCACCAGCGGCTTCTTGAAAAGCAAACCCTAAGTTTGAAGTGTTCTTTTAGCGAGGCTCATACTTGGGAGAATGCACAGCAGCAGTCGTTTACGATTCAGTCTTACCTGTACCCTGCAGACAGATTCCACCATTTCAATACAACGTCCTGGAGTTTCTGATTCACAACCCGAGATCAAAGACCTAGTTGCAGTAGTTTCCGCTGAATGTTTTTTCTGCGGAAGCTATCGACATCCTCGTTCGAAATGTCCAGCTCGAGAGGCCACATGTAGTTCTTGTGGAAGTAAAGGGCATTTCCAAAAGACTTGTCTATCCAATTCCAACATTCATCTCAGACGTACATTATCTGTGTTAAGTCCAACCATTTCGTCCATTGTTGCAGGATCCTCATTCGTCGGTCTCTCCAATCCCACGGAAACTATTCAAGTCAACTCTGAACGCGCAAATCTATACAGGCAGTTATGCGTTAACATTGCTGCTAGCCATCGATGGCCTGTAGAGTCATCCAAACACCCTATCAAGCTGCCGACACATTCTCCCGAAACCGATGTAGTTCAGCCCTGTCATACACGGACTTGAAACAGTTACACAACACTCTGTCACTCCGGTATCACACGCTTGTTGCACTTCATTCGTTCTAAGAACTTAAACTTCTCCATAGACGATGTTAAAAAAGTTGTAAATGAATGTGAATTGTGTGCACTTCTGCAAACTTAACAAAAGGGACCAGACCGTTCGAAAGAATCAGCATTGATTTTAAAGGCTCACTTCCATCCATCTCTCGTAACAAATACCTTTTGACCATGATAGACGAGTACTCTCATTTTGCTTGCGCTGATATGTTATCCTCAACTGTCAATAACTGTTCCAGTCAGCTATTCTTCTTATTTGAAGTGCCGTCTTATGTTCATTCTGATCGTGGCACTGCCTTTATGTCGGATGAACTGCAAAGTTTTCCCCACAATAAGGGAGTGCCAACCAGTCGGACAACTCCATACAACCCAGGGGGTAACAGACAGATCGAAAGATTAAATGGAACGTTGTGGAGAGCCATTAATTACTCTGGCACTAAAATCTCAACAGCTGGATACAAACCACTGGGAATATGTTCTACTAGACGCTTTACATTAAGTCCGTTCACTGTTGTTGTCCACTGCCACCAATGAAACGCATCAGGAGAGATTTTTAACATTCAATCGTAGGTCTACCAATGGTACATGGCTTCCCGGCCATCACGAGACTGTACCTTGACGTGGTGTGATGGTTTGTGCACCTCTCTGACCCAACGAGCTACACAGTATGGCTTTTGTTAATCCGAAGATCTAATCATGCCCGGAAGGTCGAAGGGTAGAAGTCGGACGAAGTCCAGTCTCCTGGTCCTCCAGGTTAGGGGTTCTACTAGAATTGCCGTGTCAGTCGGTAAAAATGGTGGAGGAGTAATTGATCCAAGTAAATGGGCTTTCACTTAGCTTCACCCGCTACCTTGCGGCTAGGTTTTTTGTCAGAACTAAAGGCTTTGGTTGAGAACCCTAATCATTCTCCTACTTAGTGACTGGACACCCTAGCAGTACCCGTCCATTAAAACCCAGTGCATATGCATTGCGAGTTTTGCAGCAATCAGCGAAGTTCGCTTTTCTGTACGATGATGTCTTCCGAATGGAAAAGGGGAAACTGTATTAATGAGGCTGCTTGTTCCGAATGCGTCTACATCGGAAAACACTCATGAAACCATAAAAGATCAGCATGTGCACCTCACGGAAGAACAATCCACGCCGGTGGTTCTACTGGAAAATGATGCTCCAGAATCAGAAATCCAGTCTGATGCTACGGATCACATTCAGCAACTCATAAGAAACCAGCAGCGTGTCCACCCATGCAACCTTCGAAGTAGGAAGGTTTGAAACAACGCACTGATTCACAGACATTTCACTGAGCGCGGAAGAATGTGATGATTTCGTTATACCTTTGGTCTTGTACCACTGCATCACCGTTTACTGATAATGTAGATTTTCTGTCTTTCTATTGTAGCTGATGTACCTACATTGTTAGAAGAATAAAGCCTCATTTCCGGCTGTCGTTTTCTCTCGTTCGTCGCTCAATCATTGGAGCTGGTATATATATATATATATATAACATTATTATTGCATTATATTACATTAAGAAGTCTAGAGAAACTCGATGTGTCCGTGATATTATCATGTGAAAAGTAATCGTACGGTAGCCCATTGGGTAAAGTCGAAACAGAAAGAATCACAGCCATAGCTTAGAAGCATCTTTATAAGAAACAAAACGGATAATTTCATTTGAAAAATAAAATTTTCGCACATTTGACGATATCTTGCGTTATTTTTCTTGTTTTTTCGTCTCTTCTTCAGTCCTAATTTACTGATAATGACCATTTGTTCTACATGTAACGTGGAGGTTTCACCTCAGGACAGAACGAACCATGTTCGAAGTGATTGGCACGTGTATAATCTTAAGCGAGTTGTTGCTAGTCTTCCTCCAATACCGGAAGACATATTCCTCCTGAAGAAACAAGCCTTCTGTGAACCAGCTCCACAGGCTGAAAAAGTATGTCTGTCTTCCAGTCTAATCATTCTTTTTCAGAAAACCTATTGCGATGCATGCAAAACTTTGTTTCATAACAATCGCTCCTTTGACGCTCATTTGAAATCAAAGAAACACTTGCGCAATAGTGAATTGCTACAGCGGTAAGTGTCTGCTTGAAAATATGCAGTGTGGGACACGAAGGACACCTGGTATGTTGACTAGGGGTATTAAGAGGTATTTTAGGCCCTACATACCGCAGTTCAGACAGCTCTGAGACTAGCTGATTGGAAACATCCAGCTTGTGGTATCAAACCAACGGCAGTGACGTTTTTGCTATCATTCCTTATCAGAACAGAATGCTTGATGAAATGTGCACATTTGGACTATATTGTCCGACTATTCACCTTGTAGATTCACTTTTTCTCCTTCCATCAAAACTGACCATCTTACAAACTACCTTGCGCGTTCCTAATTACTAAGCGCATATTCTGAGCTTGGAAACGATCAACTAATTTCATCTAACTATATCTCGTACTATCGTGGTGATCAAACGATTCCCAAGTTTTCATTTACTTACCTAGAATACGTCCTTCGTTCTAACAATGAGAACAGACATATTTACGTACTTTCTTCATTGTTTCGAATTGAATGCGTCTCAGCTTGTGCCCAAGTAATAAAACAGTGCATTGCAAATCATCAGTATTCCGTAATTGCATTATATTTTTAAGCTTTTCACGCACCTTAGCATTTTTCCTCATAACAAACTTACTTTTAGGGAAGCAACCTACCTTTGTTTCCTCGACAACCAAGGATGTAACAGAATATTATGGCAGTACTGCCGATCCGATGAAGAACAAAGCAAGCTTAGTTGTGTTCACCGCCTTCTGTTTCATCGCGCTACTCGAGTTTGATGACACTTGCAGTGGGCTTATTATTTGACTCATTTAAATAAGCCTCTTTTACTACTACTACTAGAAGGACAGGTTTTATGTTACCGCAGGTATAACAATGATCAAAATATAAAGATTTGATTGTAGGCAAATTCATCTGCTCCCCAAGTTCGGTCCAAATTGGGTTGGCCCACTCTTCACTCTAACTGGGGAAGCAGTGGAGGATATCAACGAATTTTGCTATCTAAGCAGCTACATCTCACCTGGCGGACGCACTACAGATGAGGTGTCGGCACGCACACAGAAGGCTCAGTTAGCATTTGCCAACTTGAGACATCTGTGGCACCATCGTGACATCCGGCTGTCTGTGAAGGGTTGAGTGTATGTTGCAGCAGTTCAGTCTGTGCTATTATACGATGCCGAGACTTGGCCATTACGGCAACAGGATAAAAACAGGTTGTCGGTATTCAAACACCGCTGTCTACGCAGCATTGCACGAGTCTGGTTAGTCAGCCGGACAAGCAATGCTGGGGTTAGGAGTGGAGTTTTAGGTAATCGCAGTCACCCGTATACGACGCTGGTTGGGACAAGTCACCAAATAGGTTGCCACGGCAAGCGATGTTTACCGAGGCAGGGAGCGAATGGAAAATGGTCAAGGGTGGTCAAACTAAGACCTGGCTTGAGGGTATGGAAATCCTAACTAGGACACTGTCACATAGGTCCCTTTAGGCTCCCGGGATGGTAATCCCTAGATCAGGATAACCGGTTCTATACCACGCCTAACCTAGAGGGTCCTTATACGGTTCGCCACTCCAAATCCCGGGGCCTGTAAACCAAGTCCAGCATCCACGTAGCTTCCTGAAATGCTAGAAAATTGGTAGGCAAAGAAAGCCAGCGCATTACAATGCGTTCACTGCACAAATACAAAGTAGAAATCAACTGTCCATCTGAACTCCGATTGCCTAACTGTGGCACAAAACAAATCAACATAGCAACGCAACCTACCGGTTATACCAAAGCGGACTAACTGATAACTCCGGTGTGCACGGGGTAGAAATCACCGTGGGCCACCGGGCCAATAATGCCATAATGTCCTGTCAATCAATCTCTCCCAGGATTGTCATAGCGCGCTTCGTGGGTATGCCGTTTAACCTGACAGTTATCGCTGTTTATGCTCCCAAATTACATGCGGAAGCGCCCATCAAAGACGACTTCTATAATCCAGTTCAAGATGCCGTCAACCGCAGTCTGAGGCGAGCGATTCGTATTGCAGGAGATTGGAATGCACACACCGGTCCATCAGACGAGCATCCTCGGCATGTTCTGGGAAAGTTCAACGTTGCGAAAATGGCGAAACGCCCAGTCGCATTTGCTAACCTTGATCGATTGGTCGTGGCCAACATGCTTGTACATCACCCCAGAAAATAACTTCTTACTTCGTACTCGAATTACGATCGAACGGCACATTGGATCGATTACATCTTGGTGCGTGCTCGCTGAGCCTCTTCAGTGGAACACTTATTTTCCGATAGCGGCACAGTAGCTGCAAACGGGAACGGCACGATCATACCCTTGTACACGCCCACTTCAAGATCCGCCTGACCGCTCACAGCAGGACTCATCCCCCAGGCAAATTTAATGTCGCTCTCTTGGAACTACATGAGAAAAACCAGGCGTTGCTGGTGCAACCAATTCCACCATGGCCGCAACTTCTCTCGATGATTCAACTGTCGATACACAGTAGTCCTCGCTGAAAACGTCTATCAGGGAAGCAGCGCTGAGGTAGTTAGTAGTAAGACTCTTCACCACAAAGGTGATTGGATCTCCGAAGATACATTGCAGTTGTCCGCAAAGGCAAGAGAGGCGCGGTTGATCACTTCTCCTGAATTCCGTATTATATGTCGCCAAGCCACACGTTCCGCCAAGAGCGACTGTAAACAATGCCAGAAGGCGATTGCAGACAACTTGGAAGGTACAACCGTCGCTCAGGACGTTGGAAAGCCATTTTGTCTAATCCGTGTCGTAGTAGAAAAGAGACAGACATCAGAACCACCGTTGCGCGACACCACGGGCTAACTTATCCAGCGAAATGAACAAAATGCAACGGCTAGCAGAACACTTCGACGGGCTACCCAGCGCCCATCAAACTAGTCTGGTCCTCCATAGTTGTCAAGCCGTTCGAAGACATATGATGTCAACTTCGCCTATGATAGAAATCGACAATGCAGTTAATTCTCTAAAAAGCAGGACGGACCTTTGGAGAAAGCTGGTTACCACCAGAGCTATTCAAAGCTTGCCTACCAACTCTGATCAATCTACTGTACTGTTTTCCACCCCGTTTGGTTAAGAGAAGTTTGTACAAATGATTAGGCAGCCTCACTTTTAGTTCATGTTCCAAAAAGGGTGATAGATCAAGATGCGAAAGCTATAAGGGTATCAGCCTCATTAATACTTTGGACAAATTTCAAGATCACAGCATATTTCATCGACTCCCGCGCGGTCTTTGTCGCTGTCGATAGAAAATACGTGTGGTGCAAATAGCGATCCGACGGGATGCCCAAGAAATTCACCAGGCTTTTACTATCGTACTGCTCATGAACCCGGCACGCGTCCGTACCTATGGAGAAGAATCAGCAGAGTTTACACAGTTCTGGAGTCACGCGAGGTTGTCCCCTATCGCTAGTGTTATTCAATTACACCGTAGATTGGATTATGCGACAAGCACTCGTCGACTACTCCGGAGTGCAGCTTGATTCACGTACATGGATTGCAAACATCGAGTTTGCAGATGATGTCTTCGTACTTGGGGACACCATGGGCAACCTCCAGTCTGTCGCATTAATCAGCTTGCCTAGGCGATTGGGTTAGAGATCAACAGGTCGAAAACCAAGACACTTTCGACCGAAACTTTTGTCACGACACCCTCCTCGATTAACGGGAAGCTTGTTGAATTAACCGAAGTTTTCAAGTATTTTGGCTGAGGATGAAATCCAACTTCGGATAGGTATTATTATTATTATTATTATTATTATATTTCACACTTGTCTGAGGACAGACTGTGCCAAACAAATCATGGTACAATAATCTTTATAAAAAGGAAAATGTTCCATGATTGGCTTGTGGGCTGAGTACTGTCAGGTTGCCCA